AAATACATAATTTTAAAGGAAAAAAAAAAAAAGACCTTTTGTCTATTGACCCTGCAGCTGCATTCCTCAAGTCAGAAAAACATTACGGTGGGGGACAGCAGGCATTAAAATAGGAGAAGTTGTTGGAAATTAATAGGAAGTTAAATCCAAGGGTATCTCTTAAGGCTTCTTTGCAATCGCAGTACAGACATCTGTGCGAGTCTCTGTTTTTCAACAGACCTGAGGCATTTCACCCTCAGTTTAACAAATTAATTTCAATGTAGAGACCTCCAGCTTATTTAATTTCTTCATAGCAGTATCTCCCCCCAGTCTCTCAACCTACTTTTTGTTCATAATAATGGAATACTTATTTAAGCTCAAGTCAACTTACAACTTTGTGGTCCACTGGCCAGGTTACAAAAAAGTGTCTTATCAACACTAGACAGTCATCTAAGATATCAATCTTTTTTTTTTGCCAATATGAAGTGTTTAAAGTCTAAGGAAATTTCAGTAAAATATTATTGCTAGTGTGACTGAGCTACTAACGGAATTGCTCTGAATTCTGCTTGTTCAGGAGATGAGTATTGTGCCTTTGGTACTTCTTTTAGTCCCTTGATTCAACACATTTGAATCTAATTTGGTCTTTTATGTTGGTAGAATATAAAAGGAAATATGAATGCAATTATCATTCTATGATTATGCAATTAAGTGAAATAATTATTATTAAATCAAAAGTCCAGAATTCAAATACTCCTTTAAATAATAATATAAATAATTTGTAATTGATATAAAGCCTAGTTCTGACGGCTAGAGCGGTTTTTCTCAGTCTCCCACAGGGCCTGGAGTAGTTTTTCTCGCCAGCCTCATTATGACAATATACACAAATTTGGTTTTATCTTTATCTTTTACTTTTTAGCTTGTTTCGTTTTCTCAGCCACCTGTATGTAACTTGATTCCCAAAAGTTCTTTGATGTAGGCCTTTGGTTTGGCTTGTTCTGACCAAGTTCCTTGTGGAAACTTACTCTGCCATGTCATTGCCAGGGGACAAAGAGAACAGCTTTCCCATCCTCAATTTGTCTGGAGAAGAGATGGCTGTTAAATGTTTGTTAGACATATATTTGCAATGACTTGTTGTGAAATTGATGATACTTAAGCAAAATTTTCAAGGGCAGCTGTTCTCCCCTTTAGGTATTGGTCCACCAATACCTAAATGAAATTTCAGCTACCCATTTGTCAGTTGCAATAAGGGGCGTATTTTTTCCTCTCTCTCTCCATCCTTCATCCTTACAGAATGTTGTAGGTACTCTCTTATGTTCAGGAGCCTTCCAGAGGGAACTTGTTTATAATTCTAGCATTGTTGAGCACATCACTTGGTTACGTTCATTCTGAACAGAATGATTTTATCTGTGTCAGCTGAACACCTGAGATGACTGAGACAATACAGCAGGAAGAGACTGCACGGAGAATCTGAGCCCCAGCAGCAGACATGCTGCATAACACGCTTTCTCCCACTTTTTCCCTTCCTCAAGCAACTGGTTTCTGTAGTCCTTCTCCCTGACTAGGAACCCAGAACATTTTTTGATCTATTCTTTTTCCTCAATCGGAATTATTAAATTCTAAATTCTATCTGAACATTTTGCTCCTACCTTGTCTCCAGCAGTGGCTAGGAAAAGCTGACAGAGGACAAGGTACCACTACAGTAGGTCTCATCTTATATATTGTGCCTTAACGACAGGTAAGACTTAATGTTCTTTCCAATATTTGTAAGCATTAACTATTATAACTTTGGAAAGTCCTCCACCTGTCCACTATATGTCTTTCCAGCTTGACTTTAGTGATTCCCAGTAGTGATAAGTCAGGTTAAGTACAAAACATGTGAAGATGCTGCTTTTGTCAATCAGCTCTGTATTCACAGCCTCTTAATTCCACCAAAGACCTTACTGTTTTGTTGTGGAAAACTAGCAATCTGCCCATATGCTTTGGCATCTTATATATTCCATTTCTGGATGACAAGAACTCCTCAGTTTTTCTTGTTCCAAGCATATCCACCCTTCCGAGGGCTTCTGGGCTGCTCTGCAGTCTGTATCCCATTATCCCTCGACTTACTGAGCACAGTAGGGCAGCTACAGAATAGATGAAACTGCTGCTTTTTGCATGTGTTACAGTTTTAGACAGGCTCTTCAGTTCTATGCTCTGATACTTCAGAAATCTACCACATAGGACTTCTTCCATGATTTACAAAGCAGACACATATTCTAAGCATAGATAAGAATTGCACTATTTAAATGATAATACCAAGATGTTTTTGTATGGGGAGGGGATTCATGCAGGCCATTTTCACCAGAAAGAGCTCTTTCATAGGACTATCTATCCCCACACCAGATGTCAAATACAAAAAGAAATACTTTGGCATGAATAACAAAGTTCATTTGACTGAAGGATTTACCTCCTAGGAACAACAGCCTCATAAAACATAAACATAGGGAGCAAAGTGAGCCACGTAAGGGCTTTTGCAAAAATTAAACCCATAACTTGCCACTAGAAATGGGATGTTTCATCTGTTCAATAAGCATTAAAGTTCTCTTTGTTTTTATGGCATCGTAATCTTTGATTACTCTGATAAATATTTGGACTATACAAAACATTGCAATGGAACTAACTGCAGTTATAAAAAAAATCTATGTCTGAAAATGAGTTGGGAATGCAATGATACCAGCAGATTTCAGAGAAGTTCAAATACAGAACCACATTATTTTAACTGGCTCCCAGCCTCCTTCTTTTATGCCTCCATGTAGTCATTTACACCTGAGGAAAATGGTTATGAAAGTTGTTATGCTTGCTGGCTTTGCTTAAGCGTGATTAGGTAACTGTACCAGACACGGAACACCAGCCTCGCTCTGTGTGACTGGTGAACCCAAACCACGCAGCTGAATAGCAGCAAATTTTAGCAAAAAACCCCGGTCCTGCGTTGAGGATCAGGTCTCTCTATGCTAAAGTCTGTTTGTGGAATTCATGCTCTCACTCACAATGGCTGTGTGGAAAACAGCCGCTGTCCCAAGAGGGAGATCTTTCCTTCCCCTTCCTTTCCCCTCACCCACTAATTCCCTTTGCTCTGGTTTTATTGCTCAGACAAGACTGGAACGTCAGACTGCTGGCAGATTATGTGTGTAATCTTACTCCACTCGGTTGAAAATTACAACTCTCTTCATATTTATTACAGTACTCTGAACGAATCTAAGGTTCCAGGAAGGCTTTAGGCATGTCTGTATTGCTTCACAGTGTAAAGACTTTCAGTGCTATTTATTCTTTTACAGTAGGAGAGGGAATCCCTTTATCACTCAGAGCACCATGTGCCGCTCAGATGCCAGGGGCCTATATTCTGCCCACAGTTGAGCTGGAGAAGGTCTGTAGTCAAGAAAAGCTCAAGAAGAGCTTTCCAACACCTAGAACTGCTTTTTGTAATTCAGTGTAAGGAAAAAAATCAGACTCGTTTGGGGGCTAGGAAAAGGAAACAAGATAATTACTTTCAAAAGCAAAAAGCTTTTCTATACCTCATTGTATTCTGAGCAGAAGCATTAATGTAAATAAAGTTCAAGTGCAAATCATGTCAGATAAGAAAGTAATTCCAGTGGTGAAAGTCACGCCTTGCGTAGCACCAGCAACATTTATGAAGTGGTAACAAGAATATATTTGAATCAATGGGCTGCATATTTATGTCACTGGTGTGATAGTGTCACGTACCGTCAAATGTTTTTAACGTATTACTTCTAACAGCTGAAGTCTGCGTTTGTTTCCAGCAGACTAAACCCAGAGTAACTGAACCAAAGCCAATGGAGATACTTCAGATGTCACTGATTGGAACAAAGAACGTGAATTTGCACTTAGCATTTATATAGTCCTTTTCATCTTCAAAGAGCATCACAAACATTAGCTAGTTCTAATTCTCTCACAATGACCTTCATGCTAACCTTTTGGGATAAAAGTAATATACTATAAGAAAAAAACTGACAAGCTGTGTAGTCAAGCATACCCCAAGCCTCAGATGTGTAAACTAGCTCTTCCTTGACCTCTGTCTCTGCCTCATGGTAGATTTTATCTCATCAAGTATATAAGGCCTTTCACCATGGCGCAGGTATTATTCACCATTCAATGTATTTTACTAATGTAAGATGATGGCAATAATCCTTGAATAACAGAACTACTGTTATAGTTACAGGATACAGCCATTCCTTTTTAACAGATAAGGAACTCGAAATAATACTGCATCAAAAAGTTTGCTGGAAGCTGCCACAGGACAAGCCAGGGACAGGTCTAGGTTAGATGTTGGGATTCCATGGCTTTGAATTCCTGCTTTTCAGTCATTCTGGGATACATTTTTTTACTCCTTCCAATTCAAGTTAGGACTCTTGTTAGTCTCTTTTAGCAAGCTTTCTCAGAAGCAGCAGAAGTTCCCTTTACATATCAGTTCCCTCTGCCCTCCAACCTAGGCTTGCAGTTTGATTGTCAATTCTGGGTGGCTAAGCCCGGAATCTCAAATAAGCTCCTCATGTTCCAGTTGCTTGCGCACTTTATGCAGAGGAATAGATTGAAGCAGACACTACTCATTTTCATGGTGACCCAGAACAGCTATTGTTACAAGAACACCTTTAATCTCCTGTTTCTGTTTTTGAATTGAATTCAAGTAGGAAGAGATGAAAGAAAGCGTCTCACAAATCTGCTACTACAGCTGGTACTTCTTGGTTTATCATATGCTAGCTCTAATTCTCTTTGATTCTTCTTAAAATTATTACTTCTGTTTCTTAATTTGACAACCAGGCATTTGTTGCTATTTTTGGACTATGAAAAACCCCTCCCCTCCCTCTTTCTTATAACTACTTCGTCAGGGAAAAAAAAAACCAAACTTACTGCACTGTGATACCAATATACAAATTTAACTTCTCCCTTGGTAGGTTTTCTCATGCAGCGTATAAATGAGCAGCTAAAAACCTACTTCATTACTTACAGCTCAGGAAAAGACTTACAAAATAAACTGAAGAGTGAAAGAAGGATAAGGGTCATGCTGATATGAAGGGCATCAGTCGCACTGCAGTCCATTTTGGATTTCTTGCAGGAACACACTTGTAATTTCAGTTCTGTGGCGTTAGTCAGAGGCGGTTTTCCCGAATCTGTCACTGAGATTGGGATGTTGTAATTGGCCTTTTTCAGGTTTTGAAGCAGGGTGACCTGGGCATGAGTATCTGCGAAGGATAAGGTGAGAATCAGTCAAATAGCTGTTGTTTGGCAGGGAAGAGGAACCTGCAAATGATATCAGATGTGCCACAGTTACTCACAGAAATTAAGAAGAAAATGAGAACGCTCTAAGGAAAAGATTAAAGAATGGAATTGGAGGTAAGAAGAGGCAGCATAGAAATTCTGTCATAGGCTGAGTGCTAACTGCAAACTTATTCCAAACCTCACCAAAAGAAAGACCTTTAAGAACCACTTTTGTTTAAATACATTATTTGGTCTGCAAATTATTGGCAGAATTTGCCTGTGGAAACTAATATAGCAATGCAATGCTAAGGCATGTCATCCCCAAAGCAACACAAAGCAACAAGAGGGAATATATCTGTTTGCCAAAAGAAAAAAAACCCTTCTTGCAAGGAAATACAGGTAAAGCTGCTTAACTGCTTCCCCAGTTTGACTGGGAAGGCAGTGAAGGGAAGCAATGCCCCTTCAAATCCCCAGACCTGCTCCACCTGAGCATCAGAGGGTCATAACAGCTGTTGGTACTGAGGAGAGTGTGCTGACCCTTTCAGGGGGGTTAACAGGGCGGTGGTTTGATGTTTGGAGAACAGCAAAGAAATGACTCTATGTTGTCCTGTAGGCAGGTACAGACCTCACATCCATCTTTAGTTTTTTTCTAGGAAGAATATGAACTGAATGGCTGAAAGATTTCATAGTGCCAGATAAATAATACATACTAGAAAACAAACAGAAGTGATCTGCATTAGAAAGAAATTTAGTACTTTGTGCCCACAATTTGCCATTCAAACCTTCTGCAATTGCACAGCATGTGCTTTGATCCTCTTACTGATGGTGTATGGTCCTGGTGCATTTGAGTATTTTATCTGTGAAGAGCTCAAATACTTCAAATCAGGAAGTTTTCCAAGTACATTGCTAAAGCCCGTGCAAAAGCTTCATGCTGTCCTACAGCAAAGCCTTGGGCACCTCACGCTAATAAATTTCATGCCATGAAATATGGGCATCTTTACAAAACTATGAGTCATTAGCAGCGTTTCTGTAATGCAAAGCTAAAAAAGAAAAGTTTGGTCAATATAATAAGAAGAGGAAAATTGTTCAGATTCCAAAGAAAATGCAGACAATTTGTATGTCCCACCAGGCATCTGGTCCGAGCAAAACCGGCGCGGTGTAAAGCAGGAGCAATGGGCCCATCCTGCAAGACTTTCATGCACAACTGCTCCTGAATTCACCTAATGGGCAGCCTCAGGGTGAGCATGCTGGGACGTAGAGGTGGGAGAACTAAACACATAAGAAAAAAAAAGTAATAGACTTACTGTTAATCTTGGTGATTCTCCACAATTTTTCTGGGCCAGATTGCTTACTCAGTTCAAATTTGAATGGATCTGTGTTGGGGTGAAGGTCTTTGTCTGATGCTCCTAGTACCACTACCCTGAGATCTTTGGCATCATCACAAACTTTTGCCAGTGTTGGATAAAGGGATGGGACATTGTCATTGACATCCTCCAAGGTGATGTGTAAGGTTCCTGTACCTGTAGCGGGAGGGTTACCTATATGAAAAAACAAAGGTGTGTTTATCAAATCAGAGTTCCATAAACACTTGTTCTTATTTGTACCTGCATGCTTGCAAAGGGAAATAATTTTTATACTTCTTACATCTGTTATACGAAAATTATTGCTTTAAAAAACTCATGAGTCATTATTGTAGATGTGTGGCTGTGTTTTCAGAATGAAGCCTGTCTGATTCTCTACCATATGGATAATTATTCTAAGGAAACCTCTGGGAGAAGAATATTTTGAAGTCAAAATAAGATCAGGACATGAATAGATATCTGGAAAAGAATCTGTGTGTAAGTGCACACCGAAAGAAACATGGTAGGAGACATACCCTAGATGGTATTAAAAGAATCAAGAAGAAGATAAGTAAGAGGAATAACGACAGCAGAGAGGAATCAATTTGTATGGTGGGTGCCCATAAACAGAACGGGACCAGATCATTCCCCACCAACCCTTAGGGCCGCATTTAGTTATGTCAGCAGAAGTGAAACCTGTCAACACACAACTCTGGGAAATGAGATCTTTGATTTACCCAGAGCCACCCTGTGTTAGCAGTGGAGTTTCAAGCATTCTCAAATTATTTGCCAGCCTGCCCTGACCTGAAAGAACCAGCTTCAGCGGTGAGGATGTTGTTTATTCACCGTGGTACCACTACAAGCCTTTGCGCCAAGGCTGTGACTGACAAACCAGCTGCGGTGCTGGAAGTGTTTGTACGGGAGATGTCTGTCCGCTGGGAGCCAGGCTGAGGCTAGCACCTCATTTCACTGAGGTCAGAGAGGAGCTGACAAGCGGTAATAACTTCCAGTCACTACAGATGTGTGCCATGGTGGAGCCGGTAACCCACTGCTTTCAGTCTAAAGCTCAATATCCTATCACAGATCCCTTTGCCACCTCTTTTTAACTGATCTCAAAGTTTTCTAGATGCACATTACTATTTCCTTCATTGTGTACTGTACCTAGTAATTTCTCATTTGAAACGCTGCATTTCTGGGTTGTTTGTGTTTCTGGTTTTTCTGGTTTAGCACACATGATCCATGATCTCTGCACTTCCCTTAGTGATAAACCCTTAGCAGGTAGAAAGGATTCAAGAGGCTGCACTTAACCTGTAAAGCACTAGTGCAATGTGTCATGGTAGTTTCGAGTTTAGCACTGCAAGAGGTGCACTTTAGCATAATTACCCTTCCTATAGCAGCCCAATAAACCTTGGAATTATTGCTGCACTGTGAGTGCATCCTAAGGGAGAAGTAAATACCCTGTGGTCTGGATCTGATAAACTACTAACTGAAGCAGAATGCAATTAGTCCTTTCAATAACAAATGTTACTAATGGTGACACTTCATCTGTTTCATGCACACATAAATGCATAACAAAGGCAGAATTTTCATAGTTCTTTAGCTTCCCCCCCTCCTCATCTTGCACTTTGTCATCAGAAGGGTTAGGGTTGAGTTCCCCTTAATGAAAAAGAAATTATTTTTCACTTTTTATTGGACTAATTGAATTTGCAGAAAGACTCCAATACATTTTTTGTTCTTGATATATTATTAAGTAAAGTCATACGGCAGAATGGATGAAAAGACGTTCAAGTATTTGAAATATGATCATAAAAGCCAGCCTTTCATGCACTTAATTAAACTGCTGTCTTTAATTTTGAATGCATTATTTCCACACTGGACTGATAATGTCTTATGCACTGCCCTTCTTATCTTTCTCTGAAGTCAGTAATATTAAAATCTGCCTTTTGAAATTAAGAAGCCAACAGCATTATGAATGTGCTGTTACTTTGTGAAACGCGGATATGGCCGCATTTTCTCTGCCGTGCAAATGTTTCACTCTCTTTGTATGGCTTATGGGCCAGTCAACTGTCACGCCCAAATAGAGGGAAAGGAAATTGCTCCTGTCCATTTCGATGACTTATTCTCTGGTTGGTTTCTTTATAATGATTTAAACGAAATCTTTGGGCAATTTATGAAGACCTCTAAAAGAAAAACAAGCAAATGTCAAGGTCGTAAACTGAAGCTTGTTAACATGCATGTCATAAAAAAAATACAACAAAAAAAAGAATCAAGGAAAAATAGTCACCACATTTCCATTGGGAATAGATGACTTTTATAAATTTGACAGTGTTATGCCTTTGAAACAATTCAAAAATCCCATGATCTCCAGACAGCTTTGGTTTTGAAATGAAAAATTTCCATAGCGTATTTTAATTCTGAAATAAGACTTCTCTTAATTTGTCTTGTAAAACCTTGCAGCTGAAAGCAGAATTAATGTGTAAAACCAAGACATAAAGGGCTCTGTCCAACAATCCTCGGGAGCAGCTTTTCGAAAGAGCTCCGCTTCCCCTTTTGTCACTGACTGAATTGGCTGTTCCTCCTGAGGCCGAACACTTTAAGCCCTTGGGTGCCCTTAGAGCCATCTGGGATAGAGGTAATTTCGAATT